ATCCTTCCTAGTCAACTTAGTCAAGGGCATTGCAATTTGTGAAAAACCCTTGATGAAGCGACAATAGTAGCCCGCAAGACCCAAGAAACTCCTAATTTCTGTCACACTTTGAGGTTGTTCCCATTTCATCACTGCATCTATCTTACTGGGGTCCACTACTATCCCTTCTTTTGAAACAACATGGCCTAAGAACTTAACTTCTTTGAGCCAAAGGTCACATTTGCTCAGTTTGGCATAGAGCTTGTGCTCTCTCAATATCTCCAAATAATTTTGAGACATCTAGCATGGTCCACTTCATCCTGAGAATAAATAAGTATGTCATCAATAAAGACTACAACAAATTTATCAAGATAAAGCCTGAAGATTCAATTCATATAATCCATAAAGACAGTCAGGGCATTTGTTAACCCAAATGGAATCACAAGGAACTCATAGTGCCCATATCTAGTCCTGAAAGCTATTTTAGGAACATCTTCTACTTTAACCCTTAGTTGATGATACCCTGATCTCAGATCAATCTTAGAAAACACCACTGAATCAACTAATTGATCTAACAAATCATCAATTCGAGGTAAGGAGTACTTATTCTTGATGGTTACCTTATTCAACTGTCTATAATCAATACACAATCTGAGGCTCCTATCTTTCTTTTTCACAAACAATACCGGTGACCCCTATGGCGATAAACTCGGTCTAATAAACCCCTTCTCTAACAACTCTTCAATTTGTCTCTTCAACTCAGCTAACTCTGACGAGGACATCTTATAAGGTGCCTTATAAATAGGCCCCATACTAGGTACGAGCTCAATCGAGAACTCAACCTCTCATTCTAGAGGCAAACCGATCACTTCAGTAGGAAAAACATCAGGGAATTCTCTCACTACTGGAATCCGATCCACAGCTTCTTCAATCTCTACCTTAATTAAGAAGAAAACCATAAAAGCTTGATAGCCCTTTTTTATACACTGTTCTAGTTGAGCTACAGACAACAACATAGGACCTTGGGACTCTACAGGGGTTATAGTAAGAGCTGAGAGTGACACACTTTTTCTAACAATCAAGTACAGCTCCATTTGCAGACAACCAATCCATCAATACAATAACCTCAATCCGAGACAAAGACAAACAAATGAGGTCTATGGTGGTCTTTCGACCCTCATACTCAACCTCTACATTTAGACATGTCTTAGCAGTCCTTACAGTCAAACCAACAAGATAGAAATTTTCACATCAAAAGGTAAGGTACACATAAGAAATTTACATCTTGTCATACATTCATTTGACATAAAAGAGTGCGTAGCACCCGAATCAAATAAAGCACAAACATCATTATCAAGGATTCAAATTATACCTCGGATGGCATTAGGGTTGTTAGCAGCCTTCGGCCCAGAAAGGGCATACACTCGTGCTAGCACTGTAGGTCTCTAATCATTACCTTTGTTCTTGTTTTAATGGCAGAATTGGGCGATATGACCAGGCTTCTGGCAGATGTAACAAACCCAACAATCACCAACATGGAACCTCCCACATTTACTACATGCCTGATTACTAATAGGAGTAAAGGTAGCTGGGCTCTTGTAAGACCCTTGACTCCCACTCTGATTCCCTCTATAACTCTGGCCTTTATGGTAGTAGACCTTCTTCTTCTTATTTCTAAAACCTTCAAAAACTTAGTTGCTCCTCTTCCCTACTCTACCAATGGGTCCCGGACGGGTAAGGGGCTTCCTATGAGGTTCCTTCCTCTTCTCTCTATCAACTTTTAGTCTAGCCTCTCTCTTCCTCCGAGAGACTATCCGAAACTTATTGTACATCTCACTAAATGTTTTGATCTCGAAAGGGGCTAACTGTTCCCTTAGATCAAGCCTCGCCTTCTTTAGCAATCGTTCAGCCATCCATTCTGTGTCTTCATGTTTTTGGAGGTAAGTGGAGTATTTAGATAATTCTGAGAATTGTTCAATAGATTCATCCTCATCAAGATCACCCTGGCGGAATGCATGAAACTCAACCTCCTTTTCTGCTCTCAGTGCAGTAGGAAAATAATTCTTAAACAATATGGCTTTAAAATCTTCCCAAGTGAGAGAGGAATCATCTTTCGGTCCTGATGTTTCCCATCACTTCTTAGCACCCTTCTGTAGCAAGAATATCGCCAACTGCACCTTCTGATTAGAAGTGCATACAACCATATGAAAAATACTCTTCAATCGACTATCCGTTCTTCAACCACCGCTGGCTTAAGATTCCCATTGAAAGTAGGAGGGTTGAACTTATGAAAAGTACTCCAAATCTTTGTGATCATGGATGTCTGCTGATCAAAGTAGAGACTCTCATTCTTTGAGCTAGTCTCATACTGAGAATAAGAAGGTGAGCCTTCTCCAGCAGATTGGCTCACATTATATACCTTGGTATGGCTTCCTTCTTATTGGCCAGTTCCCTCTCGGTTGGCATGCTCCTTCTATTGCCTCAAAGTGGCTAACTCTTCTTCTTGTCTCTTCATGCGGTCACTAAGATCCCGAAACAGATCCATCATCTGCCTCATGGTTGGCTTACCCTACCTTGGTTGTGGCTGTATGGGCTCACCCCCTGCCCTATTTTTTGCTGTATGGGCTCTAGTTGTGCCAGTGTGTCATTTCCCACTGGCTCTATAGAATCATCGGCATTTTCACCACCTCTTCTAGTTTTGGACACCATCTCTCCCCTCCTAAAGGATGGAATCCACACAATTAAGTCAATACTAATCTCGAGACAAGAAAAATAAAGGGAGAAGCATTATGATTTAATAATGTATATTGCTAATAAACTAGATTAATACATAACAACTCTACAATTTATAAGAAACTTGAAACATGTAGCTCTGATACCAAGATATAACACCCTAATTTTCTATTAAAAACTCTTACCTTTAAAACTTAGATCTCTCGCACCGGCGACTTGTGTTCTCTTTGTCTCTGTTCGCATACAGGGAAAGGATTGAATGGAAGAAGGAAAAAGGGGTGTGAGTTTTTAAAAAAAAAAACACTGTGAGCCCCACCTCCTTTTTTTCTCCTTTCCTTTGTTTTTTTAATATATATATATATATATATGTACGTACATCACAGCACACGAACCACTCTTGCTTATTTTTTTATTAATATATATATTTGTACATTACCTGTGCAAGTAAAATCGTTCCACCTCCCCATTTTTTTTTATTTAATTCCTCTACACTCACACACACACACACACACACATTTACATTTCATTTCTCAATCTCTCTTTCTATTATATTTCTCTTTCTTCTTTCCTAATAATAATAATAATAATAATATTATTATTATTATTATTATTTAAAATTTTAACTTAGAATTATATCCTAAGTTAGATCTAATAATCATCTCCTACTAATTTATTTACCTTTAAATATTCTCCAAAATTTCTATTAACCTAAATTAACTATTAAAATTTAAATTAGGATGTTATATTTTGATGTTCATACAAATATTACTTAAATTTGATAATATCTCAAGGTTTTAGATTAGTATAAGGGTCAAAAGCGAGCTCACTTATATATGACGTCCCAAAGCCCGATAAAATAAATCCTAAAATTTTCTCGTATAACTCTGAGGGCAATTATTATATTGATCTGCTATGACAAAATATTTACTATATATAAGCATGCCTCAGCACGGTCTCTAAAGTATATGTTATTACAAAAGCATTATTCTTAAAGTGGCATGAATATACTAGCAACATAAAAAGAGAATATAATATATAGGCTTTTAATTTGTAGTGTGGCGCGAATCACTAAATTATAGAGTGATTGTTTGGCTATGGCGGGTATCATAGCAATGGTCTTCTAGGATGCAATAAAAGCCTCTCGGAAGCTCATTTTTTCTGTCCTTAATTATACCTTTGGATTGGGAAATTTATAGACTGTGAAGGGGTTTCTTCAAAAATTGTCCTATGACACATTTTTCACATAAATAGTCATACATTTTAAAATACTTGAATTCATGGATTCTTTTATGGTTCATATCTTTTCAAATGATTCATGAATTTGTTTTTTAAGAAAATTCATTAACCACCAAGTCCTTGTTCAAATCATTTAAATAAATAATTATCTTAAATTACAAACTCACAGCTCATTTACTTGAAGGGCATAGCATTGAAGTTGTGGATAAATAATATAATATATCAACATGAAACATCTGAGCAGCCATGGATAACATCTATGTTGTTTATATTTTGATAAAGAACAAAATATGAACAGATTTTATGGATATCAAGGCTATTAAGCATAGCCTGAGTTTGCACAAAAAGTTAATGGTCCTTATGGCATATTATCTTTTCCCTACTGCGTCCTCTTCATCCTAGTCTGAAATTACATGATGCAACATAATTTAAATTAAGCATATATAGTGGGCCTTTTTTTTGTGAGCAAATATATAGTGGCCTTTTATATTTATAGCTATAACATATATCGTCGAGTGAGAATTTGAGGTGTAGACACTAGTATAAAAATAATTTTTTATAATGATTAAAAATGACTTTTTACAGTGGTTAAATAGGCGATATTATTTCAAGAGATGTAGAATATACTATCTTTCTATATCGGTTATAGACTCGATGTAAAAACTAAATTTTTACATCACTTATAAAGCTGATGTTAAAAATTATATAAAAAAATTAAAAAAATTTACCTGAAACTTTTTACATCAGTTGCAAGCTCAACCGATGTAAAATACTAACTTTTCACATTGGTTGGGCTTCCAATCCATGTAAAATCTTGAGCTTTTACATCAGTTGAAATCCTAACCGATGTAAAAAGTTATTATTTTACATCAATTATTATTATAACTAATATAAAAAATATTATATTTTACAACGGTTATGATAATAACCGATATAAAAAGTATTTAATTTTTTTCATAGTATATTTATTTTATCAATTTTACCCATTCCTATGTATAAAAATTGCCAAAGCCAAATCAGACAGCTCAATTCATTTACAATTGTCTATCAAGTATTTATCAACTATACAAAATTATTTAACTATTAAAAAATTAACAATTGTCTAAATTGTGTCAACTGTCAAAATTAAAACTTGTCTAAAACTAACAAACTGAATAAATTGTATGAAACATTTTATAAACCTCACAAATTCTCCACAATATAAGTTACCCAACGTATACGGATGTCTTCAATTTCAGCTTCAAGAAATGCATTTGAATTGTCGAACATCTAAAATATAATTCACAAAATAGGCGTATTAATCAATCTCAAATAACATAATGAAATAAAACTTTTAAAAATATATTTACCTCTTTTGTAAATTCGGTCATGCCCAATGTGATGATGTTAACCATGTGTCTCATGACATATAGACCGCACAAGTTCATCTTTATTGGTTGTCTACGACTTTATATAAGAACAAATTATAAGAAATTAGTAAGAAATCTTAATAATTGAACATATTAATAAAGTATAGCATCACCTTTGGCTCAATCCACGTGGGATCCTTCAGCTCATGTCCATGCTTTTGTAAAACTATATTTTGATATGTTCTCATTGCCCTATAATTAAAATCACCAAGTTAGTAAATAATATATTCAAAAAAAATTAAATTAAATAGTTTAGCAAAAGTATTCGTACGAGTCTATCGTCTTTTACATTTCTTTCCCAAGTCTGTAATAGAGAGAGCATAAAAAGATGACAGTATTACTCTTTATTGAAAGAACAAATAACTGTCAATGTTCCCTGCTAAATATGATACGAGTTAAAGTAAATCCACATTAAAAAACTATTAATTATAAATTGATTCTTATGAATGCAAATATGGAGCCATAAAAATGTCCTTTTTGACTTCACATGTTCTCTGTTGGAGGTACTATTAATTACCTTTCTCTGTCATGTGATGAGGGCAAAGGAATCCAAACTTATCACCTTTGCCTGATATAATGCACAAATGATGAAGGTACCTATAACAATGCAATTATATTAGTTTACTAAACTTGATGATTAATTTTACCTACAACAATGCAATTATATTAAAGAAAAGCATACTTACATCATGAATAGTTCAATGTGTGGTAAGCTGACTATTTGACAGAAGTCCAACCAAATCTTCCCGTTCAACTGTCACTATCATGTTTTTCTTACCCACAACCTCTGGATCCATTTCTAAATTCTTGAGTTTGACTGATGAATCATATGCCATTAAGATCATCCATTGATGCGGAGTCAACGAGGGTTGTGGAAGTTTCAAGGGATTCGACAAGGAAAGCTTTTACATAATAAAAAAGCAAGAAATAGTTAATAAAAACCATATATTAGGAAAGTTGCTACATTATAAAAATTCATGAAATTCCATACCATAGCTTGAACCATATTCACAAGTCTCTTGGGCTATAGAATAAAATTACTAATAGCTTCAACCACAGTCTTCATCTCATTAGTGGGGAATGGAACCAATGCATCTAGCACTTTTGGATTTGCAACCACCACTCTCACTTGATCATCTTGAATTTGCTTGTGGTGGATGGTTGACCCCAAGCTTTAAATGCTACCAAGAGCAACCAAGCATCTGTCAGGATCTTCTAAAAATATCTCACACAGTTCACCAATGTTGTCACCAAAAAGATCCTCTGACACACACTTAAGAACATTACTCCCTTTTGTATTATAAAATTTAGGAGATGTATGAACTAGTTCAGCAGTTGTCTCCTGGCGTGAGCTCATCATGCTCATCATCTCCTCCTTCATTTGCTCCTTCATTTGTAGAAGTTGGGCTGTAAATGAAGCTTCAAACTCATCCTTAATCTTCTCTAGTCACTACACCTCCTGAATTGGGATGTCTAGGTGTTCCAAAGTAATCCTTAATACCCACACCATGTCTAACACCCCTCACACGACCCGGATGCTCTGGTTTGCCTATAACAACTAGTGACTTGTCCAGTAAGTATCATATAGCCTTAAGCTTCTTTTCTATCCTATTTTTATTGAATTTGATTAGTTGGGAAATAAAATTAGGAAGTTTTAAGGAGTTATAATCTAAAAGAGAGGTTTAAAAAAGAGCTATTGAATACGGAACTAAAGTTTTTTGATTAATTTGGATTTAAATGGTTGAGCTTTGAGAGTTTAAGCTCAAAATAGCCTAAATAATTAGGTTGAAATTAAGAAATTGGATGGATAATTGAGTTAGGAGGTTGTTATGACCATTTGAATAGCCTATAAGGCCAATTACTTTAGATAATGGACTTATGAATTCAAAAGGTGTGTTAGTTGAACTATTTTATGTGTTATGAGATTTGATTTAGCCAAATCAATGTCTATGTTAAGTGTTAAGAATTGACTTGAGGACATTATGTTGTATAGATTCAGCATTTGAGAAGTTACTCATGAGAATCTGCACCTTGGAAGTCTTCTATGATTGGTAACCCTTAGTACTAAGGGTAAAAGGTAACTAGAGTAACTGTTTTACTTGTTCATTTATGAAATTATTTACAAGTATGTTATATAACTATGTGCATTGTGATTTATGAACTAATAGAGCAGCAAAATTGTGAAAGTATATGTATACAGGTGTGTAAGTATTGATTGAAATATATAAGATGGAACATATGTATAGACATGTACATCACATCTGTAAGAGTCCCTGGACTAGGGTAAGGGGCAGTGGCATTATTCTGGGTAAGTCTAGGAAGTCTTGATGATCCCGAGCGTAGAGCTTGACTCTGCAATGACGGACCTAGGAGATCCTGATGATCCCAAGCATAGAGCTTGACTCCACCATGACGGACCTAGGAAAATGACCTATGAGTGTACCCTAGACTAAGGTAAGGGATCGTGGTCCTACTCTATACAAGGCTAGGAAGTCCTAAAGGTCTCGAGCTTAAAACTTGACTCCACCACGAAAAACCTAGGAGACCACCATACGTGAAGAGGATACATGGTCTGAACAGTAGTATGGTGGGCCCTGTTCCATGTGACCGAAAGTCTTAGTTCGAGCATAGAGATTACTCTGCTAGATGAAACCAGGAATGCATGAGTATGAGCATGATGAGATTGATGAAAATGAATTCTTGTATATGCATATGACATTGCTTTTACTAAAACATATGCTGCTTTATCTCTTATTTATGATTTTACTTACTAACTAGTATTTGGGTTGTATCTAAGTTACTAGGATGTATGTGTTGTATAAGGAGGCATAGCAAAAGATTAAAATTTTAAAGTCTCTATCCTGATATGGACTGAACGAACTCATTTAAGTCAAGGTAGATAGAAGAGTTACCTTTTAATTCTTCAAACTTGGTGCACATTCTGTTCAAGAGTTTGGATCTCAGGAGCTGACAATGTAGATCTGTTCCTTCTACCGGTATCTACACAAACAGCTCTCTAACTCAAACAACGTGCTAGCACTCCTAGCGTCCATTCTTCTTTGAACATTAATTTTCCTTTCTATAAGGTGTTTCATGGTTCTCAAAGTGTTTTTACCATCAGAACTTTTTTAACTCTCCTTCTTCATAAAGGACGTCTCTATTTATATATAATATATAGATCAGAGCTTTCATCTTTCACTTAAAAAGCCCATGAAATTTATCTCATAAATTTAATCCATGATGTCATACCTAACTCGAATTTATCTTATAAATTTGAATTATAAAAATGACATAATATTCTCTCACATCATGTTAGTTATTAAATTTAAATCTAAATTTAAAACTAATATAATATAATATAATATATATCACATATACATATACATATTATATATATACGAATATATATATACATATACATATATATGTATGTATGTATGTATGTATGTATGTATCAGATACACACACACACATATATAAATATATATATATATATATATAATTCATTCACCCTATATTACATTTGTTGAATCTAGCCATATTCCTGATTTAATGAACTTGGGCATTATAGCTCGAGTTAGGCTATTCTTGTGTGCGACCCTATAGACCAATATAAAATTGGCAGTAGGCTAATTATGCTATTAGCCCACAAGTCACAAGTGGCCTCTAGCAAGACATTGCAACTACCCAATTCACATGGGGATCGATGATCCAATGTAACCTATCATGCAACCGTATCACATCCCTTTTGTCACGCAATATTTCGATCAAGTGTGAGACATAAAATTGTCATTCTCCTTTACCTGACTATTACTTTCTCGATCTCTAAGTGGACTGATTGTAACAATAGAAAAACCCTTTTCATTGTAATATGGCCATACATTTTCTCAGTCTTACTCATCGAGGGGCCCAGTAATATCTCTCACTTAATGTAAAGGATAAATTCTATCTTAACCACTCATATTCCTTTGCATGAATATCACTAAACTCAATCATAGCCTTTATGATCACTCGGTCAAAAGTGACTTTTGACTAGGTCAAAGTTTAGTTGTCATCATGTAGGAATCCATGATGATTTTAGGTTAAAGGACTTAGTGATATAGTTACATATGAGATAAGCTTATGACTTGTACCATGTAACTTTCTCATAGCGAATCGATCCAGTACCTTATGCTCTTTCAAGTGCCTATGACTTTGATTTGTATCTTTATAATTAATTAAAGTTATATTAGTCTTGTTTCATCTATGATCCCTTATAAATGACCGAGTAAGGACATTTAGGACAATCACTATAGTTTGTCTAAGGATACAGTTATCATATTGAACATGCAATTGATATGATAACAAAAAAAGTTCATTAAATAATAATGTGTATAGTACAATAATTAACCCTAAGGCACAATTTTCAATAGTATGTCTCACTCCATTACCATTATATAAAGGTGAAGAGGGCATGAGAAGGCTAGGAAAGGAAGCAAGGAAAGGTAGCCTCACTTGGTAGTGGTATGACTACCATTAGTATAAATGAATGTATAAAGTTATAATTAGAATTTGAGTTGCCAACTATAATGAATAAGTGTGTGAATATGATATGTGAATATGTTATAAAAACTTGCTTATATGTTTTGAATTGCATCCCGCCGAGGCTACCACAATAATGTGTATGTGGGTAAGCCAGATGCTAATCAAGCAAGTATATGTTGTTTTGTATAACTTGTTCCACTATGTGTTGAATGTGAAATTGATTGTGAAATTATGTGTATATGTGAGAACTCAACACAAATGGTGAGATAGAGCCCCATTTGAAAGAGTCAAGCATATTTGTGATTCCTAACCATATGGTGAGGTGGAGCCCCATATGCAAGAGTCAGGCTCGAAGTGGTCTAATGGAACAAGGAATGAAAATGAAACAAGTCTATGTGAATATGTGCTGCGAGTATTGTTCCTTATATAAGTCCACAAGTGTGTAATGTGGCGTTGAGGGGTTGAATTGAGTAATTGATGTGATGTATGTGATTAAAAGTTTCAATCAAGTATATATAATCCTTTTGGATTTGGTTCAGGCTCGAAGTGATCTAATGGAACAAGGAATGAGAATTAAACACTTAGGGAGTGAGTTTTTGAAAGGAAAATTAGCTTTTTGCACCTTGGTGTGAAATTTTAGGTTGGACCATTAGATTGAGTCTAAACTTATCTCATTAGATAGAATATATTATAAGCTTCATGTGGGCATTTGAATCACTCTAATCAGATGTCGAATGCAAAAATGGCGTGGAACGGAAGTTTTCCTTCTAAACTGCCATATGATAGCAAATTTTGCTATCATATGTGTCGCAGCACATGGTGTGCCACGTCGCAGTGCATGTCATAAAAAAGAATAGAATCATGGCTCTATACCACATGCCTTGGTGCATGGTGGTGTGAGCTGCGGTGCGTGGCACTTTTTAAGGAGAATAATTATGCCTTATTAAGTCCTAAATTGTGTGTTTATGCTTCCGTTAGCCCTCTCATTTGAATATATATTTAGAGAAGTAGGGATCCCACATTTTGAAAACAATTTGAGGGCTATTACTCTGATATTATGTGATTATTGTTTGTTGATTGTGTATTTGAATGGTAAAGTCTAGAATAAGTAGGGACTTTATAATTGGTATGCATGGAAGAATGTTAGGTGTAAGATTTAAGCTAACCTAACCCTATAATTAAGGCAAAAGTTATGGTTAAGCTTTAAGATTAATTATGTTTGGCATGAAAAATTATGTAGACTATGTTGTTGGAGAGGTAAGTGGTGAGAAATTGCACGTCTAAGGAAATTTGCTTGCAAGAAGTAAAGATAACATTTATTGATATATTGTTATGTGTGCTATAACATCTTGAGCTTTAAATCTGAAAATTAATTTCTAATTAAAGGGTAATTAGTAAATTAAGTAATTAATTAATTTAATCACGTTTTCATTTGCTAATTGACATTTTAGATCATGAATAGCCTCAAATTCATGCTAGGGTGAAAGTAGGATCGAATTAATTTAGAATGGGGGAGCAAAAGTGATTGCTTATTGTGCTACATGCTACGGCATGTGCACCACATTAGCATAAAGTCACATAAAACATCAGAAAAATAGAAGGGAAGGTTGGAAAAAACTTAAAGCACAAAAGAGGAAGAAAAAGGCTATGATAGGGCTTTGATTTGGGCAAGGTTAAAGGTTTGTTTAGACCTCCAATCATCTGAGTAAGCTTTTTAGCAATCTTCTCTACCTATCCACCATGGTTTTCTTGGATTTTGAAGAATGGGTGGTTGGGTTTTGAGTTGGAAGGGAATTATACTCAAGCCCTAGGTCTTGCATGTGGTCATGGGAGTTTGATTTAAGTTTCTTTAAGTTGAGTGAGTGTTAATTTGAAACTTAACTGTTGGGGCCTTAGGTTTAGACGAACCCTAGGTGAATTTAGGATTATTGGAGTTGTGTGAGATGAAATTAAGTATGAATTAACCTTCTATATGCTAAATTAAGACAAGATAAGCTTGTAGAAGCTTTGACTAGCTCAATAGTAGAGATTACGATTGTTGGA